AATGTTTTTGTTTTATGTGTGAGAATTGAGGGGTGGGGGGGGGGGGGGGTTCATGAACTAATTGTGTTATCTTTGTATGGTTTCTTGGACTAGGGGAAAATGTAAACGTAGATCCCATTTTGGGGTGGAAGGAAGAGAGAGATATCAAGGGTAAAAAAAGAGAAGGTAGAGAGAAAAAAGTGATAGTCTTGATTCTTGATAAGTGATGTAAAAAGAAGAGAAGAGAATGGAGTGGAAGGAAATGAAAGAGAAAGTGAGTGGGATGGCTATCAAAATTTTATCAGAAGGTTTTTTTTTTAAGATCTAGAATTTTTTTTACCTTTTTAAGGATCAGTTTGGAAAGAGAGTAGAAGTGAAGCCGGGTGGAAGGGTGTGCGTGAAAAATTGTTGGATCAGTTGTTTTGTATTTCACAGAAGTAAAACTGTAAAAGTAAAATCCATGGATCAGGTTTTTTTTTTTTTTTTTTTTCCTCTTTAAGATTGGACTCAAAATCAATATTTAATTCTGTACAAAAATGTATCCACCGATTTCTATCTTCTTTTGACTCTACTTTGTCCAAATGGTCGAAAGCAATGAGTTTTTGCTAGTGTCATTGACCCTAAATAGCTTGTTTGTTAATTTTTAACTAATTATTTTTTCATTTTACATTTAAAAAACTTTTTTTAAAGTTTGAATCCACATCATGAACTACAACTAGGGCTCTATGTAATTTCTGGAGCTTTAAATTCTTTGCATTTTACTCCTTTGTACTTGATAGCAATTGAAGATCAATTAAAGTTGCTGACATTGTAATGTAATGAAATAGGAAGGTCCTATGATAGGTGGAAGCTGCCTTTACCTTTTTTTTTTTTTTTAATAAATGAAAACATTTGTATTATGAAGCTGAATATTTGCCTGAATTCATGATCTAACTCAATTCTTACATTCAAAGGCTTCTGGAAAATGTAGGCCACTGGAACTTGTTCTTGAACTCCCCCCTCCTCCCTCATTTTAGATCTCTTGGGGAATTAGTTTTTGCAAGGGAGAAGGGATGTTTTCTATTTACAATCATCTTCTCCCGTGGAATGCTTTTTGTTTGAAGTTATTTAATGTGAAACAAATGAAATAATTTATTAGTTATTGTAATATCAGAAGAACAGAAGTAAGTAATAATCTTCTATTGACAACCACTTCTCAATGCTTTAGTCCTGCTGCCTCCCTCCTACTTTCATAAATGCTTGGAGCTTGAATTTCCATAAGTAGTGTTGAGTGGCTAAGAGTTGTTTCCTTTCTATTATTAATTTATTTTATCATGTCTGAAGTCTGAACATAATCCAGGCTTGACAAAAAAGGAAGGTCCAAAAATTTGTTCAGAGTTTTTCATTCTTCAAACAGGCTTATTGTTGTCATCTCTAACATCCCTCTATGAATTATTTTGTCTTGATCTTGAGTCCATTGACACCTGCATCCGATCTAGGAATCAGGTTTGACAATCACTGTTACATTATTTGTTTCAAGGACTTGCAAATAGTTGTGGGCAAGTGTGCTTAACAAAGTGCAGAATATGTTCTATTAGCTTTTGGTTAGATTTTAGTGAAATATAAAAACATCTGTACATATGAAATATTATCAATATTTTTCCTTTTACGATCGGTAATTAATTAGTCCAATTTGTTAATCTACTTTTCGGAAGTTTTGTAGAAGTATATGATATAATCATCTGTGTAGATTCCATTTTTGTATCTAAAGTTGTTTGTCCTTGCAAATTGATATCACACTTATTTCAATCGTTCAAACTTCGAAATTGTTTGCACTTTTGAAAGACATCAAAAGTTGTTGGTATGGTTTTATGGATACCTTGCATGTTTAAGTATGAAAAGAAAAGAGTTTCGTTGCTTTTAGGAAACTGACTTAAAGACTTGAAGAATGCTATATAATATTATGCAGATTCCATGTTGTTTCTAAAACTGTTGCAACCCAGCAAGTAAATGTTGCATTTATTTTCTGCCTTTTGGGGATGTTTCCATTTTCAATAGACATCGAGGAATAACTGCCGATCATATGGGACCATAGATATGTTTCATAATAAGAATATTCTTAGAAAGCTTTGCTGACTATGGTTTGTCCATAAGGATCTGTTGCTAATTTATGTATACATGTGTAACGTTCAGGGTAATAAGTTAATAATTTTTGAAACCTTTCCACTTTATCTCAAAAATCTTTCTCCGGTTTCTACACGAAATAATATTTAGATTATCTGCAAAAAAACTGAACACAGACAAATTCATCCAAGTCTTTCTTGTTCCCTGTTTTTATTTTTAAGGGTTCCTAACAGAAACATGTTTCTGAAAATTTGTTTAAAAGCCTTCACTGTGTACTGATGTTTTAATTGTTCAGAGATATTTCTATCATTGAGAAGCGATTAAGTTGTTGCAGATGTGGCAGTCATAAATATATCAAATGTGGTGGATATGCTCAGTGAATATATACTGTTGTGCATATTTATTTACCAGAATAATGTGCATAAACTTTCACTGCTTTGATCAACACAAATCTTTGAATCTTCTTGTTAATATAAACTTATCTTTTAATTGCTTGCTGTGGTATTATTATTTTTTCACAACTGTGTATATATATATATATATATTTTAATAATTTGTTTCTTCTTCTATCCAGGAAAGGCAAAAGAGTTAGCATTTAGCATGGGTAAAACAATTGAGTTGTATGGATTCCCTACTTCTGTGACTGTCGCCGATGTAAAGAAGTTTGTAGAGAACATTACTGGTGAAGGAACTGTGTTCGCCATTAAGTTAAGGCATGGCAAAGGTCGGTTTCCAAGAGCATTTGCTATTATTCAATTCACCGTCGCAAATCATGCTGCATATATGATGTCTAAAGCTAACAACAGTTTGAGAACATTGCGGTATGGGACCTCCTTTTTAAAAGCTCGGGAAATGGAAAGAGATATTGTGCCAAAACCAAGAAATTTTTTGCATAGTTTGGAGGATGTGAAACTGTATTTTGGCTGTCAGATCTCAAAAGGAAGATTCTATGTTTTGTGGGAAATGCTGGATGTCAGTATAAATTTTGGGTCTGGAATGAGAAAGGTGCATTTCTTATTTTCCCATAACAATGTGCAATACAAACTTGAGCTTTCATATGAGAACATTTGGAAGATTGAGCTGCATCGACCATGGGCTGAAGCTGCACGTTATCTCCTGATTCAGGTTGTTAAATTTTTTTTATTAGCTTTTTAAGGCATATGAGTTGATTTCTTAGTAAAATTAATGATGAATTGAGTGCTAAAAAAGAGTGCTACTGCCAATTGGAGTTGAATCATGACAGATACATCATACATGGCTATGGGTTGGCTCCGAATCTAGGGCCCTGCTATTGGGTATGGTAATATCAAATACTAACCCTGTGGCCTGCCCTGTTCTTGGACTGACAAAACCATCCTTCGCACCAAATTTTCGCTTGCCAAAAGTAAAAATGCTACCAATCTGACACTTTCAGATATCACCAATTAGATACTCATAGAACAGTTCAATGGTTAACTCCTTTGCATGCCGGAACATCCTGTTGAACCAGAATTTATTTACCAAAAAACAGAAGATAAAACAATGGAACACAAAAACATGTAAAATGAGGAAGAGTTGGAGTTTTACATTCTGTAGAAGTTTGTTGTTCTTGAATTTTAATTAACGAAATTTAAAATATGGATTGTGTTCCTCATTTATCTGTTGGATGAACTATAGTGAATGCTTAGCATATGTTTTCTTTTAATCTGATTTTGGAATGTTTTCAGAATTTCAGTAGGCATCTACTCATCAAGTGCAAATATTTCTCTTACTCTTTAGTTTAGATGAGTTTTTCCTCTTTACTCATGGCCTAGCTTAGTTTTATCTTTGGGAGAAATTTTTTTTTATTTTAAACAGTGTGGGCTTATGGAGTATTCATACAAACACTAAGGAGGTAATATGTTTAGGTTTTTTGTTCAAGGTGAAAGGGGGAGGTAGTTTAATGTTCAAAAATGGTTTTACAATTAAAATCAAAGTTTAGTGAACATGAAAACATTGTTATAAGGGGTATTTATGGCTATTTTGGAACTATATTACATCCTTTTATACTGCAAGACTTTACAAATTTATACTTAAACCTTGCTATTAAGGTATAAAGGAAGGAACATATTTATCGCTACTATATTTAAAGTGAACTGGTAATCTACAATTTATATGTAATTAGAAGTTTATAGGTTTGTGTGGTATGCTTCCATCGATCAATCATTTCCTACATTTTGTCATCATGTATGTTTTCTTTCAGGTAGTAATAATAATAGTAATATAATCTCCAAATTCAAAGTAGTTATTTTATTGTCCATCAAAACTTTTATTAAATTTGTTGCCTTTTTTTTTGGTTACCAGCATTTAAACCCAGTCCCTTATGATATTGTTTTTCAACAATTGCCAAACAGATCAATGCCAGTAATTTGTTGCCTTTCATGTCAAGCAGGTTGTCCCAATTGAAAGTATTACATATAATTTTTTTCTGCAATAGTGTGTCTAAAACCTTTTTGTTTTGTGCTAATATTTTATGCAAATTAGTATTTATTGCATTAGGTTTTACCTATGAAGCTCAGATATTCAGTACAACACGGGTAGAATATGACACAAATATGGGGATACGACAATTTCCTTAAAATTTAGGATACAATATGTGTTGGATACGTTAATAAAACTTTATAAAAAAGTTTATATCGATGCAGACTATTGGTAAAATTAGAGACTTTAATTCTTTCTTATTAATTCACAATTATGATGATTATAATTTGCAAAAAAGATATTTGTAAACATAACAACAAAAAAAATACAGTTTTTGTCCATATTAAGTTAACTATATTAATAAAAACTTCTTTGGTAGAACTTAAAGATAATATTGGTTCTATACAATAGCTTGTGATTCAAAAACATCATTACTAAATTATTGTCTAATGCTAAATGTATCACTCTCTTCTCCCTCGTTACCACAACTAGAAAAAAAAAATAGTTTCAAACTTCGGTTAATCTAGAGAGAACTCTTCCAATTCAAAAAGTCTAGCACCATCATCAAGTGGATGATGTGTATCTCTACTAATGTCTCGCAACCTAGTCTCTCATTTTTTATACACTTCATTTTTCATAAACAAGAGTTGAAGGTTGAAATGTACATAGACCCAATCTTCTGCTCGTTAGGATTCATTTTGTTTTTCTTCAGAGAATGAATAAAGGAGTATGTACTCCAATTCCTTTCACAGCATGACAAAAAACATGACTGTTAAAAAAGCATAAGACCAGTTTTTTTGGATACTTTTCATATACATATTTAGAAGTATCTAATAAGTTATGAACTCTTGTCAAATTCTATGATTGTCTCTTTTCTGTAATTACATTTTTATTTTATATGATTGCTGCAACTGACATATGGTGAATCTAATTCATTTTGCTTCAATTGTTAGTTACTTGGTGCTCCCCGGGTTTTTGTGAATGATGTTCCTACGTCAGAAAATTTATTTGAAAATATGTTTGACAGTCCTTTGTTCAACTTCTACAAAGATGGCCTTGATGAGCAATGGATCCGAGCAATAGATTTCACTACATATAGTTGTATTGGGCAGTCCACTGCCATATGTCTGGAGCTTCCTTGTGGCCAACAACTTCCAAATTTCAAGGAAAACTTTGGTTATTATGAGGAAAGTAATAGGCAATACACTTTACAGACAGGAGTTCCATTTTCTCAAAATGTGGGTCTTGTCCCCATTGTTGCTCCTCCTCAAGGTTTTGACATACCTTATGACATTTTGTTTAAAGTCAATTCATTGGTTCAGCATGGGTGTCTTGCAGGACCTGCACTTGATGGTCACTTCTATCACTTGGTGCGTAAAATGCCACTTGCATTCATTGAACATGCTTTAGAAAAAATCTACTATTCAAAGGAGTTCTGTTATGAACCCACAGAGTGGTTGCATACTGAGTACACAAGGTACCTTAGATTAAAGAATCCTCGTCAGTCACCTGCGATATCTTTGGATACGGGGTTGGTATATGTTCGCAGGGTTCAGGTCACACCTTGCAAAGTTTACTTCTGTGGTCCAGAGATTAATGTCTCAAATCGTGTTATCCGTAATTTCCATGAACATATTGATAACTTTCTACGTGTTTCATTTGTTGATGAGGAGTTGGATAAACTGTTTGCAACTGATTTATTGTCACGTACACAGAACAAGAAAACTGAGATATATACCAGAATTCTTTCCGTACTTACGAATGGCATAGTTATTGGTGACAAGAAATTTGAGTTTCTAGCATTCTCGTCAAGTCAGTTGCGGGAGAACTCTCTCTGGATGTTTGCTCCTACAACAACTGGATGCACTGCTGCTTATATAAGGGAATGGATGGGAGATTTTCGCAAGATTAGGAATGTGGCTAAATATGCTGCTAGGCTGGGACAATCTTTTGGTTCGTCTACTGAAACTCTAAGTGTCCATAGGCATGAAATTGAAATTATTCCTGATGTAAAGAAGCGTACATATGATGGGGTTGATTATGTCTTCTCTGATGGAATCGGGAAAATATCTCTTGCATTTGCCAAGAAAGTAGCTAAAAAATGCGGTTATGATTCCACTCCATCTGCCTTTCAGATTCGATATGGAGGGTACAAAGGAGTGGTGGCTGTTGACCCAACATCACATTATAAGTTATCACTGAGGAAGAGCATGCAGAAGTATGATTCAGATATCACGAAGTTGGATGTTTTGGCCCGAAGTAAGTTTCAGCCTTGTTATCTGAATCGGCAGTTAATTACCCTCTTGTCCACTCTTGGTATCAGGGATGGTGTTTTTGAGAAAAAACAAAGAGAAGCTGTTGATCAACTGAACACTATACTGACAGATTCGTTAAAGGCACAGGAAGTTCTGGATTTGATGTCTGTGGGAGAGATAACTAATGTTCTGAAGGAGATGCTCATTTGTGGCTACAAGCCTAATCTTGAACCTTTCCTATCAATGATGCTGCAAACCTTTAGGGCATCGAAACTGTTGGAATTGCGACTCAAGTCCAGGATCTTTATTCCAAAAGGAAGAGCAATGATGGGATGTCTAGATGAAACTGGAACCCTGGAATATGGTCAAGTATTTGTTCAGTTTTCTAAAAATAGGCTGCAGAATCCATCTGACGATTCACATCATTTGGCCCAGAATTATATGGTTGCAGCTAAGGTAGTAGTAGCAAAAAACCCCTGCTTGCACCCAGGTGATGTGCGTATTTTAAAGGCTGTGGATGTGCCAGCTTTGTACCACATGGTGGATTGTGTAGTTTTCCCTCAAAAAGGACCCAGGTAAATATGCTTCTTAAATATTTCTATTTTTATTCATGATCCACACTATTTTATTGAATGATCTAACATTTAAAGATTGTGTCCAATAAAAAAATTATAGGCTCTAAAATTCAAATAAATGAAACTGGTGAAATAATGAATCCTTGGCTACAATCTACATTAATGTGTTCTGATTTCTGCACTGGGCAAAATACTTGACTTGTTTTGCAAGTTTTGTTTCTTGTGGAATGTCCAAGAATTCGAAGTACCTAATGTTGTGTTGCAATTTTTTGTTGTCATTATGTTACTTTGCTAAAGTTTTCTCCTGGAAATTGAAATGTTAATTTTTCTGGTTGTCAAATGTCAAGTATTAACTTTCTATTGACAACAGTCCATAGACAATAGACTGGTGTTGATATTGTTTGTCTATCCTCAGCTAGTGGGATAAAACTTTTGTTGTTGTTTTCGTCGTCATTGTTGTTTATTAACACCAGTTACTGATTTTTGGTATCAGACCTCATCCAAATGAGTGTTCGGGAAGTGATCTGGATGGGGATATCTACTTCGTTTGTTGGGACCAGGAATTGATTCCTTCTTGCCCAGTTAAACCAATGGACTACACTGCTGCCGCAACTATTGAAATGGATCATGATGTGTTGATTGAGGTATCGTTCTTTAAGCAATCCTTCATGTCTTTGCATAAGTGTTTGGTTTTATAATTGTGTTACCACAATGAATTATCTTTGTAGTTGTTTTTTGCTATTTAGTCTTTTAATATTTTAAATCCATATAAATGGTTAGTTATTCTCATGAAATTTGTCAATCGAATTATAAGTTCTTTATCCCCCTCGTGCAAAGTATTTTGTTAAATTTGTCAAGGGAATGTGAATTTGGTCTTATCAAGAAGGATTTCATTTGTGTTAGTATTTTGTTTCCAATAGGTCCCTATTGTTTCACTGACTTCTCATTTCTCAAATAGGTCCTCATAATTTAAAAAATCTTATTGAATCTCCATAATTTCAATATAAATTTTGTGGTACCCTCCTTAGTGGAAAATCAGTTTTCACTCTTAGTAAATTTTGCTTGACAATTTACCATCTTCTACTATATAAATTTTGAGTATGTCGCATGTCTCATGATCCTCACATACATTGTCTATTGAAATTCAAAGAATTGTTTGTTTTTTGAGTTGTCAATTGTCATTGCCATTTAAAGGAACTACTCAAACCTGCCTCAATATTTAGCACTATTCATGAGTTATTGGATCCCCTTTTTCTTGTATTTGGTTTTTGTTCTGCAGCCTGAAATTTTAGATAAAGTTAATGAATGCTTTTTTGTTGCAGGAGGTTGAGGAGTATTTTACCAACTACATAGTCAATGACAGTCTGGGAATAATTGCCAATGCACACACTGTCTTTGCAGATAAAGAACCTATGAAAGCAATGTCTGAGCCATGTATTAAGCTTGCAAAGCTGTTTTCAACAGCTGTTGACTTTCCAAAAACTGGTGTTCCAGCTGTTATACCTCCTGAACTTTATGTCAAAAATTATCCAGATTTCATGGAGAAGCCTGACAAACCCACCTACGAGTCGCATAACGTGATAGGAAAGCTCTTTAGGGAAGTGCTAGAAGTTTCAACAAGTGCTGGCTCTATTTCATCCTTCACTCAAGACGTCGCGAGACGGTCTTACGACCCTGACATGGAAGTTGATGGCTTTATGGAGTATGTTGATGATGCTTTCTATCACAAAACCAATTATGACTACAAATTGGGAAATTTGATGGACTACTATGGGATCAAAACTGAAGCTGAAATCCTCAGTGGGAATATCATGAAAATGTCGAAATCTTTCAACAAAAGGAGGGATTCTGAAGCAATCAATATGGCTGTGAGGTCCCTAAGGAAAGAGGCCAGGACCTGGTTCAATGAGAGCAGCAGTGGTGTAGATTCTGGGAGTGATGATGCATATGCAAAAGCCTCTGCTTGGTACTATGTTACTTATCATCCAAGTTACTGGGGTTGCTACAATGAAGGGATGAATAGGGATCATTATCTCAGTTTCCCATGGTGTGTTTACCCTCAGCTTATGCAAATTAAGAAGGAGAAAGCCAGCATGAGAAGGTACTCTTCTTTGAGACGCAGGTTCAGTCATGGGTTGGATTTGAATTGACAAATTTGGACTATGTACTCCATATTTTCCAGTTGGATTTCTGGGAAGCTTGTTTATAAGTATGCATGTATATTGTTTGGTAATGCCACTATATAATATTAAGTGGATATAGGTGTATCTGTGACTTTCTTTTATCATATATGATATTATATATGCATTAACCATATGCCATTTATAAATGTGGCTTTTTCATGATATAGCTTTTCTGGCTGGCTAATCAATCATTTTCCCGTCTATTTTACGAATGTTGATTCTTCTCATTAAAGGCCCACATTCCTTGAAATGCTGTGATCTAGGAGCTTGTGGAGCATTTGGAACGGTATTTGGTTGCAGACTTGCAGCATCCTATATAAATATTATATAGAAAAAAGTTATGAGAAGGCTTACTTTGTCAAGGACATGACCAGAGAAAACAAAAGTGTAGACAAAAATATTTGCATTCCCTTCCCTTTTTGGGGTGCATTGTGATATGTAAATTAACAAGCCAACTTAGTTACTTATACCCTAACTAGGGCATCTAACTTGTAAGATGCTCCCCACCATTTTCAGCATATACCTCATTCATTGTATTGCGGAACACATTTTGAAGGAAAAAATTTTAGTCTTTTACTTTTAAAAAAACAAGTGTGTTTGCCCTGGTAAAATGTTTTTAAGTGTTAAAATTAAGTTTCCATCTCTGTTTTATTGGATGTTTGGATATTGATTTAAAACTATGTTGAACTAAAAAATATGTTCTTATGTGAAAAAAAAACAAAAGTTTATGAATGTTATATTTTTTCAACTCTAATTGAGTTCAATCCCAAACACACCATGAATCAATTGAGTAATGTCATCGATATAACAACTTATATAACATTATTTTTTATTATTTCATTTATCTCTCTATAATAAATAAAATGATGAAAAATAATATGTGCGTGTAACATTTAATTATAGAACCACATACCATTTTAGTAAGCCGCTGGTACAGTTGTGTCCTTTTTATTTGATTTAATTAATTATCATAAATTTGCAATAAATTAGCTATAAAAGGCAGAAATCGAGTTTTTGACATCCGTGATTGATCGCATTTATACTAATATATCTTCTAACAAATTAGAATTTAGAATTAGAGTATATATATTATATTATTTATCTTTCCTAATTAATACTTTTTTTAATATATATATATATAAACAAAAAATAGTTAAATTTTTTAGATTAAAATATAATCAAATTTTAATCAAGTCAATATTATTTAATGCTCTTAAATAAAAAACATCTCTAAGATAATAAATGATAGAACTATCTACATCAAGAATATTTTAATAAATGTAATATATATCTTATGTGAAATTATGAAGATTAAATTAATTAAATTATTTTTTTAATTTATGCAAAATTAATCTTTTTTGCTTATATATAAGTTTAGAGGGAATACTCATCTTTTTTCTAACTAATTATAGTATATGCTTCTTTAAAAAGTTTATAATTAATAGATATTAATAAATTAAGAAAATAATTTTAATTAGAGATATTTTAATTTAAAAATAATTAATATGTAAAATAATATAAATTATGTCTAAAATAAAAAAAACACAATTATTCTAAATTTATAAATAGAAAACTAAATATTTTAATGAAAACATGGCATCTTCTATCGGTCTAACCCCTTTACCATCCCGCTAGACTTTCACTAATACTTGTACGAAACGATACATAAAAAGTACATTTCTTTTTCCGGAATAGTTTTTATTTGTTTTTTTTTTTTAAACATTGTTTTTTTTTTTATAACTATCAAAAATATGAATTTTGACTCACACGTGAAACCTTGAGACGTCTCTACAAATTTATGTCCTTTAAGGTTACTAGATTCGATATATGTGTGGTTATTCTCATAAGTTGTGATTTTATATTTAATTGATTGCATAATTAAAAATTGACTTAAATATATTTTTACTTCTTCAAATTTCAGATAAATTTATTTTTAGTCCATCAATTTTAAAGCTGTTATTTTTAGTCCCTCTAATATCAAAAATCTTGTTTTAATCCCTTAAGTCACCAATAACATATTAGAAAGGAACTAATTAAGACAGCTATGCAATATCAACTAGATTTAATGTGATATTTTCACTAATAGAGACACTAACAGATGAATTTTATGCAATAATATTTAATAAATTTTTTAACAAAATTTCTTAATAATAATTTTCAAAATACTATTATTATTATTATTATAAAATATTTGGTCAATATCATTTTATTATTATATGAGAATATTATTTTTTATGTTTTAAATAATTATTTTGTATTTATTAAATAATTATTTTCATTACTATTTTAAATAATTATTTTTATGTTTTAAGGGATAATTTAGGAGTTGATAAATTATATATTTTATTTTCAAATCTAAAAAGTTGATTATATAAGATATTTTAATATTGAAATTATATTATTATATTTTGGGTTAGAAATATATTATTATTAAAGAAAAAATATTTTTGTATTATTATTTATATTTATTTTGTTAAATTATTTTGAGAAAAAGGAGAAGCAGGCTATAAAGGGTAATGAGTTGGGTTGACCTGGCTCAAGGGAATGCAAAGAAAGGGTTAGCAGATTAACCCTCATTAGTCTCATTTGACATTTTCTAAAAAAGTAAAAAAAAAAAAGGAAAAAAAAAATTCTGAGGAGGAGTGATCAAGAAGAGATCAGGAATAACTTCCACTATATTAATTGTATTATGATTAATGCAACTAGGTACAGGAAAAAAGGAAATTTTATATGCGAAGTCGCATGAGAAAATGGGTAGAAGGAAAATTCCCTAAGATTTTTGATAATTTTATATTCGTTTATATTTGGATGCCTAATGATTATGATAAATTCTATCTGGATTTGTGAGTGTATTTTTGGTATTAAATGTTAAAATCGATGTTCTGAGAGAGAGATTGAGTTGTTTGAAATGTGCTTGTGAGTTAGGATTCATGAAGGATTAGGTATTTTATAATTGGTAGGTTGTTTTGTGAAGTTGATGATTCAATCGGGTATCAAATTGATTTATAAATGTGGTTGTGATATTATTTGATAAAATTTATGATCTAGATGATGATTGAATTTATTCGGATGTGCTTTGTAAGTCAGGGTTCTTGTAGATTGATGAACACCCTTAATTATATGAATTAATAAGTAATTGGGAGATTTTACTTATGGAGGTACCTTAGTATTTTTATAATATCTTTCTGTGTGATTAACCAAATCAACTTTCGTTTGTTGAGTTAGAAAGCAAACACTTGGGGCTATAATTTAGATTCTAGAATCGTGTAAAAATGTTAAGAATTGATTGAGTTATGCGAGTTATAAGTTCAGTCTCCATTCTAGTGTGCGAAAGATTAAGTTTTGTGTTGTTATTTATGCAAGGTGACCTTAAAGACATTTTTAGGCTTTATGTTCCGCACAAAAGTTGTAGATTTGGGTGTTATATTTCTAATGGCTTTAGAATCACTCAAAAAGGATGTCTAGAACTCTAGATATGACTATTTTTATGAACAGAGGTCAAGATGTCATCATGGATTTTATTTGTTTTGGATTTTGAAATTTTTAGCTAAGTAGATGATGTTTTTAGAATTTCATGTCTTCATTAGAGTTGTAGCTTGTTCTCTTATATTTTTTTTGAGATAGGTTTGAGCTTATTTGGATGAGTATAACTCTTTGTGTGTTGTTTTCTTTGACAGTTGTTGAAGGGAGATGCATATTATTTTGATGTTTTAAGGTGTTATCATGTGGATTGAAAAGTGGTTTAAAGCTGTATGATACTATGTTGTAGAGTTAGTTCATATATGTATGATGATGAGATGTGAATCCATGGTGAATTGTGTGAGCTGTATGTGAACCATCATTTTGTGTGGATTTATCTATACTGTGCATGTGATGTGGAATTGAAATGTAAATTGTGAAGTGATGATTGCACTACTAGAAAAGTGTCATTTTCCTACGAATTTTCCTACAAAAAATATTCACACATTTTTTTTTGAGAACTTTCTTGCTATAATAATTTTACAAATTCTTTTTGCAAATTTATTTGTGAAAAATAATTTACAGAAATTTCTTACAATTTTTTTTACGAAAAATAATCTACAATTTTTTTTTTTGCAAATTTTGCGATAATTTTAATGACCATAGAAAAATTTTTCCAAGGTAGAAATTTGCAGAAAATGTTGTAAGAAATTTATCTTGTTTCTTGTGAATTTTCTTGTATAAATAAATTCGCAAGTAATATTTACTAAATGGTAGAAAAATTTTGTAGGTAACTTTTCTTGCAGATTTTCCTGCCAATTTTAATCCGCAGGAAAAATTAAAAAAAATATATAAATTTATAAGTTTAAGAATTAAAATATTTTCCTCAAGTCCCACATCAATTATAAATAAAACAATTAACGAGTATATAAGTTGGGACAACACTCATCTTACAAGTTGATTTTGTATGGTTGAGTGTTAGACCTATAATTTATAATATAAGAGTTTAAAAGGTTATTTATCAAATGTTAGAGGCGTGAAAACAAATTTCTAAATGGTTCGGATGAATTATCGTAAGCATTTGAAGACTAAAGAATTATTAATAGAAATTGTACAAAAATTACCTCTGAATAGTAATTTCTTTGTTTATTTTTCGTAAGAAATTTTCCTTTAGAATTTCTTGTAAAAAATTTCACAGGAAATTTCATAGGAAACTTTCCTACGAATTTTTTTTGTAGGAAACTTTCTTGTGAGTTTTTTTCACAGGAAAAATTCGTGCAAATTTTAAAATTCGCAAAAACATATTAACCACGAAGGTATTACCTAGAGATAAAATTTCGCAGAAAATTTGTAAGAACAATGTTTTCTGTGAATTTTTATGAAAAATTCACAAGAAAAGTCGCATGTAATAAGAGAAATTCTAGTAGTATCAGGCACAGTCTTATGCATGACACCAGGTCGTAAGGGTGTGCACGTGATACAATGTTATTTATATGTTGTTGTAGGCATGGTCGTATTCATGATATGATACTAGATGTGCGATGTGTAGTTACAATCGTATGCGTGATATTGATGTTAGTAGTGAAATGCATTGGCACAGTCATGTGTGTACATGATGCTGGGCGTGTGATGCGACAAGAAAGGTGTGTACGTGATACAGTGTTGGATGTGTGACACGGTGTATATATGATTGGTGATGAGATAGTTTGTGGGGATGTGAGATGCGTCGTCATGAGTGTGTGCATGATACGATGTTGGTTGGGGTAGAATGGGTGTCACAATTTATATATATATATATATATATATAAAACTTTGGGCCTTTTATATTTGCAAACATGGGCCAAATTAAATGAACAATAGTTAGTGGAGGGAGTTTTGCTATATTTGTAGTCCTTTTCATTTTTGGTATAGGTTACTTGTAGTGCTTTTATGAATACATATCTCTCTTTTTTTTCATTTTTTTAAAAATATTTTCTTAAACTATACTTACATCCTTCTCCCTTTTATGTAAAACTAATTTTGGAGTGTCCCTCGCAACCAAAAATAATTCTGGAATGTTAAATTATATTCCTAAACTTGTGAAAGTATCTAATAAAAGATTTTAAAAATTAATTTTAATATAAATATATATATATATATATATATATATATATATAAATAGATAGACACACACACATCTATTATAAACGAGATATGATTTAGTAACTACCTTTTTGTTTTCACTTTTTAATTATATGTTTTTATCCCTAAATTTATACTAGTTACACTCAAGAAAAAAAATAAAACAAATGCTATTAACTGCTATTAACTGCTTTTAAACCTTAATATATTTCTTTTTTCAAATCATCTTCTCTTAAAATGAAACCCTCTCAAGAATAAATATATTAGGCATAAAGTGTCTTTTTCACTACTAGTATAATGTAATGGGGATGGATCAAATGATATTGGTATATATATAAACTTTCATTTTAATCTAAAATTATTTGATATCACATTCATATAAATTAAAATTAAATTAATATATACATAAAAAATATACTAAAATATGAATAATTTGATCACGTCTAATTATTATTCACTTTTAATAAAATTTGACACAAACATATAAAATAATATAAAACTATATTCAACAATTAAATAGACAAAATTTAATTTTAATATAAAATTATTAAATGATGTAATAGATGATAAAAATTACAACAACATTGTCATTTAATATGCTCATATATAATTATATAATTATACTAATAAATTAACTCTAAATAATATAATATAGAAAAAGATAAAAGTTTTAACCGACACGGCCCCGTTCATAATATTTTTTTAATCCTTTAATCACTTTATGATATTTTTATTAGTAATTAAAGTTAGAAATTTGTAGCTTTGGACCTTTGGTGGAACGCGTGAATCATGAAAAGTGAAGGGCTTAAAGCAAGTCAAGAATGGTGGCTATGATGAACTTGTATTTCTGAATGAATGCAATATCCTTAATTGTTTGGTTGAGTTGAGTAAGATCATGGAGGATATTCAGAACAAAATTCAGAGTTGGCTGCAGCAGCCAAAGATACGAAGATTCGTGTGTGTTGTTGTTTCATTTGTTGTTGGAACACTGTTTTGTTACGGTCGCAGCTACACTTCCTCTTTCGATTATTTATTCAGTGAGTGGAAGATATTGCTTTACATTGTTCTCATCTGTTTGGCCAAGGAAATTGAGAGCTTCACCTCTCCTTATGTGCCCTTCTTCGTTGTGTTGGCTTCTTCTCTATACTCTTATTTCTACGACAACCAAGTGAGTCTCGTTTCCTCGTTGTTTTTTGTTACTATGTCTTTGGTATTCTCGAGACTCGGTCTTGTGAAAGTTGAGGTTGATCTTGATCTCCTAGGTTTTTTCAGTGGACTTCTAATAGAACAACTCATGGAGATAGAGTTATGGTTACTTATTGTTGGAGGGTGTGTCACTTATTTTATCATTGGTCTTTGTTATGATTATTTGCATGGAGGAAACACTTGTGGTGATTCTCACGTGGGTTCTTCACCATGGCTATCACTAGTACTCGTATTGGTTGTGGTGCTATTGTTGCTAATATACTTATTGTTGTCGATGGTAATAAAAGAGTCTCAAGGTTAGAAACCTTTCACATGAGTGGAATATATATATATATATATGTTTTTCATCACTTAAATTTAATATAAATTTATTTTAATTTTTTATATTATCAATATTATAATTAATGATAATATATTAAAATAATTATATAATATAAATTATTAAATTAAGTTTAACATGATATTACTAATAATGATATTAATAAATAAATTTTATACAATGATATTTGACACATTTAATAATAATATTTAAGTAGAGAAATTACAATGAAATATTTTTAAATTATAATATTAACAAAAATAAACTTTAAATTTAAAAATCAAAATAAATTTACCTCATATTTCAATAATTAAAAATGTTTAAATAAATTTTTTTATTAGGGTATTTCTATTTAGGCTAGTCGATACTTTAGTTACCTCGATCTCTAGTCGTGTCAGTGTCAATGGAGATTTGGACTGCTATGTTACATATTGGATACGTATAGTTTAAAAAAAAAATAAAATTGTGTCAAGTATAAACCAGTCTCTCAATCCAAAACATAATTTTGCAGCACTGCCCTACCTATATAAGTAGGGTTATTCTACGCATCAAATTATTTTGTATTTAAATCAACTGTAAATTATGCATATTATAAGTTTAATTGGATATTAAAAAAAGTATAGAGTACGGCCGGAGACTAAATAAATTCCTAATAACAGGTGCATATTTTAGCTTTAATTTAAAAATTTAAGAAATAAATAATTCAGTTATTCTTGGAAGAAATAAAAAATACATAATCCTGCATATTTTAGCTTTAATTTAAAAATTTAAGAAATAAATAATTCAGTTATTCTTGGAAGAAATAAAAAATACATAATCCTGCATATTTTAGCTTTAATTTAAAAATTTAAGAAATAAATAATTCAGTTATTCTTGGAAGAAATATAAAATACATAATCCCCACACTATATTCCTTACCTATGTATAGGATAGGATGTCATATCTGACTTTAAAGCTCTTCATTGCATATGTTCTTCAATGTGAACAGTGCAAGTCCCCATACTAATACAATTACAATAATATGTTGTTTAGATTTAAAATTGGACTTTTAAATAAAATTAAATTTAAAATCGGACTTATAACCGATCTTAAAAGTGACGCGGTGACAAATTTGTAAATAAAATGAACACTTTTAAGATCGGTTAAAATTTAACCGATCTTAAAAGTACTTTTAAGATCGGTTACAAAAGAACCGATCTTAAAAGTACTTTTAAGATCGGTTATAAAAGAACCGATCTTAAAAGTGCCACTTTTAAGATCAGTTATAAAATAACCGATCTTAAAAGTACTTTTAAGATCGGTTATTCTATAATCGATTTTAAAAGTGCTACTTTTAAAATCGGTTATCTAAGAACCGATTTTAAAAGTGCTACTTTTAAAAGTTATTTTAGAACCGATTTTGTATGTAGTATACAAAATCGGTTCTTCAATAACCGATTTTAAAAATATCGTCAGAAATCTTTTATATTCCCCTCTATTCTCATTCTCTTTAATCTTTCCCTTCATTCTTCTTATTAATCTGTGATGCTCTCATTTTTTAAAGTCTCCAATAAGGTAACCGATCTTTCCCTTCGTTCTCCATTGGGAACAGGCCGTTCTCCAAGGAGAACGGGCCGTTCTCCCTTGGGAACGGGCCGTTCTCCAAGGAGAACGCCCCGTACTTAAAATTAAATTTAGGTCTTTTGATTAAACTAGAACGGCCCGTTCCAGTTTTGGAACGGCCCGTTCCAGTTTAATTTTTTTTCCCAGCCAGCCTTTTAAGATCGGTTATTAAACAACCGATCTTAAAAAACTTTTAAAATCGGTTAAACAACCGATTTTAAAAGTCTAACTTTTAAAATCGGCTCTTTCAAAATCGGTTAAAGAACCGATTTTAAAAGTTAAAAATAACCGATTTTAAAAGTCTTTTTTCCACTAGTGTTGCTTCCTTAAACTAAGCAATCTTTATGTTTCTTTATTGTTCAATAAGCTTCTTCTTCCTGGACAACATCTCTACATTTATTTGAGATTTATCACTTTTAGATGATACTATATTATACAACCTTGATGAAATGCAATTTATTTCCAAAGTTTAGCTTGATAGGAATAAACTGCACTTCACTTTCATTGCCATTTTATTGGTACAAATTTTTTCTTTGGATATATGTCTAATATCATTAATTTCAACACTATGATAGAAAGGTTAAACTCAAAATAATTATAAAAATTATTAGTTTAAGTGATTCAATAATTGTGTTGTTTAATAAAGGATGAGGGTTCATATATACTTATTTTGAACATGGAGTTGTGACTAAAAATATCTATTTATCCTTATATAGAGTCCAATTTGGTGAAAGTGATCAAGTTATACCTCCATATCATATCAAAAGAACTTAGGATGAGTTCAATACTAAGGTCATATAAAGGTTAAGTTTTATGTTTAGTAATAAAAGATTATTTATTATTAATTTTTAAAATAAAAAAGACCATATATTAAAAAAAAGTCTAAAAAAAGTCTCTCAAAGTTTATCATTGGTTGACCTTGATTAAGCCGATCATTTATATAGATAAACACAAGAGTGAGTATATCATACCTACTTAATGTTCATCACCAAGAGATCACCAACTTTGGAAAGTGGTTAAGAGATTATATTCCCTCACAACGTTACCATCATAATCAAGGGCATACTTGTTAAGTCTCAATTTTACTTCTTTTTGGATGAGACTTATTGAACAATTCCACTCATCCTCTGAACCATTGCAATATAATTGTTCTCTTTTTGGTTCATTTTGTGTGCAGATATAACTAACCCAAATTCATCTAACAATACCTTAATCCACCTCATTTTTTGTGCAGGTATTGAGTGAAGAGTGGAAAGTTGAAGATCCTTTGGATTGGAAATCTAAGAAGCTAAGGAGCAGAGAAGAGTGAATGCGCCGGGCGCCACATGACCCGCGCCGGGCGTGATCAAAACAGAGTCTCACCTCTGCAAAGCCACATCTGCGCCGGGCGTAAAATTAATTGCGCCGGGCGTGTCCTAAGGCAGAGAGTATTTGGAAGACCCCGCGCCGGGCGCGAAACCCTAATATGATCTCCCTAAGCTCGTATTTGAAGCCATTTTCGAGGGTTTCTCCCTCATTCACGCAGGGGCGCCTCTAGGAGCTGTGGAAGGGATTCCCAGGGCTTGGGACCGTTCGTGTGTGGATCTTTCCTTCGGTTCTTCATTTCCTCTTCCATCTCTATTTTGTATTTACCCTCATTGTTGAGTGGTTCTACCCATTTTTGTGGGGTTAGATGTAACCAACGTACTCTATTGTAATCCTTACGTTTTTAATGATATATATATATATGTATTGTTTCATTCTTTGTTGTTTACGTTTCTAAGCTTAATGCTTGCTTTGGATTGATCACCCTTTGCATGATTTAAGGTTCCATTGAGTATTGGGAAATACCATTGAAACTAGTTCTGGAACATATGCCTAGTGGGGATTGTATCTAGGGATAGAGCTTGACCCATTAGTAGTCTTAAACCCTAGCCCGTAATGCGGGTGTAGGTATTGGGTACTCAAGGGATTGATATTCAATATTCGCACCTAGGCTCTTTCTCTAAGGGATTAGGTTTGAGTAAACTTATGGGTTGACTAAGCAATGTATGTAACAAGAGATAAAGGATTCATTAGTCTGACATTTGGTGAAATCTGACCCCACAACCTCACAATACCATTATACATACCATTTCTTACCTTTTCCACTCACAATCAACTATTTTTTTAGTTTAACATTCCAATAGTCACAACCTTGAATTCACATGACAAACTATGAATTTGGAATCATTCTTTAGTCACGAATAGTCAATAAATGCTTATTTTACCTTCTAATCCCTGTGGATACGATAATTTTACTACTTGAACAGCCGATATACTTGCCGTGTTTGAGACCGTTGATAGAATTAAACTGATTTACAATTATAACAAAAGTATTTCAACGGAAATCTCAACAATACTTTTCCCGAAAAAGTGAAATCAAGGCTCCTCATGAGGATATACACTACACCAATTTCAATGATGTTAGGCATGTGTCAAGTTTGACAAATAGGTTACATGACTATCATAACTCAAACGTGCTACCCTGATCACTGGAATTATCATAACTCATGTGCTACCCTGACTATAGGGGGAACATTTTACATTGATTCTTTTATACTTTAATTTCTACATTAGTTTCAAAATCAATGTAGATTATGACAATGTACAATGTGTGGAACATTCTACATCATATCAATAAAAAAAACAAAACAAAAAACTCATTTCTACATCAATTATTGTCATAAACGAAGTAGCATGTGGAAAGATCGATTCTTGCCAACAACACGAAGATCTATTAGGATCTAGTCAGTTGCTAGTTGATGGAAACCTTAGGAGCAAACCAAATGGCTTTAGCTTCTCTTTCAAATTCCTCCTTAGATCTTTGCCTTCTTGACACTCCTCAAGCTTTTTCAAGGTCTCTAATGGAGGTAGGGACCTCTGGTTTCACCTTGGAAGATGAAGAACTTTCTTCAAGTGGTGCTATTTCTAGGTAGAAGATAAACCACTTCAATCCTCACCATACTCTTAGGAAGAAGATAAGAGAATTGGAACCAAATCAAAGAGAATTTAGGACTTTTGAGAGAGAGAATTCAGAAGAAATGATGGAGGACCATCTTGGCTGCCTCTTTTGGCTACTCCTCACCTTGAAACTACTTCTCCAACCACCTAGAGATAAGAGGACACTTGACACTTGCTCATTGGCTATTCTAGATCTAGATGTCTCCTACATGTCTCAAACATTTCTCCTAGAGTTTGTTTATGATTAGTGGAATTAGATCTAAGTTCTCCTTGTCTCCTAGATATCTAGCTTCCTCTCCAAGCTAGCTAAGCTATATACATAGGTGTTTGGAACCATTTGTACATAATTTTTGAGCATTTCATTAAGTTGGCCAAAATTATCTCCTAGAATTCTCTTTCTCAAAAGCTTAAATCTCTCTTTGATTTATTACCAATTATCTTATCCTCTTCTTAAGAGTGTGGTGATATTTGAAGTAGTTTATCTTCTTCCTTAAAATGACACCAATTGAAGAGAGTCCTTCATTGTTGAAGGTGATTTTAGAGGTTTCCACCTCCATTAGAGACCTTGGAGAATCTTGAGGAATGTCAAGAAGGAAAAAATATAGGAAGAAACTTGAAGGAGAAGTTACAATAATCTAGTTCCTCCTAAAGTTTCAATCAACGAACCTAATTCACACTCCATTGTTTCATCTTCTACTTCATAGACAACATTAAAAACAATTTTTGGTGACTCCTTTGTGCATGCTGCCCACTTGTTCTAGTGACCACTATGATGAAAACGTTCTACTTACCACTTCTCCTTTAGTTCCCCTTTTGTAACATCCCATTTTTTAAAAATAAATAATAAATAAATTCGAATAATTAGAATATTATAAGGGAAATACTTTTGTACTAAAGATAAAAGGGGAGAGATAAATTAAAAGATTTTAGACTAGACATAAGGCCCAACTCGGTGACTAATTAAAAAGAAGAAAAAGGAAGGGATTAGGCATTATATGTGTCTTTTAAAACCTATAATACTCGTAGGAGGAAACCTAAAGAAAAGCATCAAGGAAGGCACTAATTAGCTACTAGAGCTACATGAAGTGTGTTGTTTTGCAGGGTCATCACTCCAGGTTTGGGAAAGTGAGATTGTCGAATTTATTGGGCATACATGAGGGATAGGGGTAGAGGGGGTGATCCCTAAGCCCCCTAGGTTGTTGAATTTGATCTATGTGACTACTTATTAATGAATTGATGCTTTATTCATTTATATTATATGAATTCGAGTGCTAATTAACATTGGATTCAATTGTTGGTATAAATTGATGTATTTGTAGATTAAGGTATATTGTGTATGAACTCGACATATGTGATGGATTGAATGAGTTGCATGGTTTGAGGGTATATTATTATTATTTGAGTGTTAATAATCTAATTGACTGATTGGATGATGAATTGAAGTAAGAGGATGTGTATGAATATATTGGGGATTAGGGTTATGTATGATTTCGATTTTTGTTTAGTTTGTTTAGTTTTGAAAAATCTAACCCTTTATATTTAAATTATGACAAACCTTATGAACACAAGTCATGAGTCTTCTAAGTATTTATGCTACTGTTGAGTTTGCTTAGTGTATTTAGAACATCAATTAAAGCAAACTCAAGATTGATTCAGAATGATTTTGAGAAGGTGACTCAAAATCAATATGGTATAAATATCATAATGAAGTTTTAGAAGGTAGAACTCAAAATGGCTCAAAAGGAATGTCTCAACTATGCAATGAAAATATTCAAAATACTGTGAGATTTATTTGTATGACATCTTATTCTTTAGGAATTCATTTGAAGAGATCTTGGTGGCTATGAGGAAGTCAAGAGCTTATATGGAGTAAATCATGTGAAAAACTACAGAAGAAGTTATAGATGATGTTGATCTTGACTACAAAACATAGTTGTTGTATTTTGCTCACATCTTGAGTTGTAGATATGATCTTGAGGCAAACTTCATGGCTATGGAAAGCTTGAACAATTATCTACAACCTTTATGAAGAAGTCTTGCACTAGAAAAACCTAGATCAAGGGCAAGTATGGAAATCAAAATAAAAACTTTATTGTAGGAGAGTTACCCGTGATCTTTACAATCTATAAGAACATAAAAACCCACTCTTGTAAGCACTTTCCCTACTCTCTTGTAAGCACTTTCCCTACCTAGATCTGAGTATGAAAAGGTGTAGGAAAGTATAAATGAAGCACAATAGGTGTTGTATGATCTCATGATAGGTGGTTGTGAGGTTGAGTATCTCAACATGTGGTTAAGTGAAGAAATCTTAGCAAGTGACTAAGTGTTTTGCTACCAATAGTAGGTGGTTAGATAGTAGTGGTTTGTACAAATAGATGGCTAAGTTGTAACAACAATTAACTGTGTTTTTAGTGGAAAATCACACAAGGTTTTATGGGGACTGGATGTAGCCCAATTGGGGTGAACCAGTATAAATCATGTGTTTAATTTCTATCTCTCTATTGCTTTACTTGTTTATTTAACTTGCTACATTCATTATTACATTGTTACATAATCTATTTTTACAAATAAGTAAACTTGGAAACTATTTTCAAAAAATACATTAAGCCCCAACACTCATAAGTTTTACTTTCTAAGTAACATATTTGCATAAAGAACAAATTATTGTAAAGGAAATTGTTTATTTAATGTTAGTGCATTCACGATTATACTGCTACATAATCTGTTTTGTAAATAAGTAACCTTAGAAACCATTTTCAAAAAAAATACTTTAATTTCTAGCACTTAGAAGATCTACCTTCTGAAACTATTTTCAAAAAATATACCCAACTCCAATGCTCAAAAGATATACCTTCGAAGTAAAAGATTTTTATAAAAGAATTGATTTTTAAAGAGTATAACAATTCAACTTTCCTTCTTGTATGTTAACATTCACATCATTTATTGAGGAATACGAAAAAAACACAACACTTCACAACCAGATCAAGAGTAATCTAACAGTTTTCTAGACATGACTCTTTGCTTCCTAAACAATGGAACTAGGCATGACAATCTGACCCGCCCCATGAGTACCCGCTCGAACCTGCCCTGATTTGGACGAGGGAAACCCGTGTTTATCGGGTTCGGGTTTTCTTCGATTTATAAAATCGGGGGTGGGTGTCGGGACAGGGACATTAATACTCGCCCCTACCCCTGTACCTGCCCCCACCCCCGCCCCTTTTAATAATATAATTAAAAAATTATTTTATATATATAAATCAAAATTAGAAATATTTATATGTAAAAATTTGTATTATTTTACTTTCCTTTTATTTTTTTTAAAATTTGTTCATATTTATTTTAAAGAAAAAAAGAAAAAAAGAAAAAAATAAATGTAGGAGCGGGGCCGGGGGCGGGGCGGGGAAACCCGAACCCCGCCGGGGACGGGGATGGGTACCCAAATTTTACCCCTAGCAGGTATTGGGGGCGGGGGCGATCTAAATCTATGGGAGCGGGGGCGAGAAACGTAAAACCCGCCTTTTTGCCATGCCTAAATGGAACCACCCCAGTTGAAGTGTAAGTGACATAATGGTTATGAAACACCGCTCCAAAAGCACCCTTGAAACTACATAAAATAAAACCTTGTTCATCTTTTTGCTAAATTCTCCAATGCTCAAGGGCATG